AATTTCCTACACTCAGTTTCATGTAAGAATAATCTGACGGCTTCACCCTGACCAAAGTGTGTTTCTTGTATTTCTAACATCTCGCTTCGAGAGCTTGCTTAGATTAACACTGTTAAACTATTGTTTTACCATGGCAAACCTAATCAGATTTATCTTTGGGTGTGACGGTCTAAGTCGCCACGTGAGACTATTCTTATATGAGACACATATTTTATGTAGTTAAAGTTATGAAATATATATTATATAAATTATTACAGATAACATGTGCATTTTACTAAAAATAATAATTACAACAATCATTTAGTTTAGTCTTCTATCTAATTTTTATCTTTATATACTATTAAAATTAAAATTGTTATTTAAAAAAGTAGGTATCAAAATAATTTTAAATGCATTTCTATAAATATATTTACTATACTAAAATGAAATAAAAGCATTAACTTGTCTGGAAAAATAGCAACACCCTATACTATATATTACCTTTGATTTTAGAATATACTGATAAATGTTCATGTTTAAAAATATAGAGAGTGACTAAGCATATTAGTATTTCCTTCAACAGTGAGGGTACCCACCATTTTTAAGTTGTGTAGTGATTTTTGTTTGGTGAATACGATTAACTTCATACCACATTGGCACAATTTATTTGTTATTCTAAAATCAATGATACTTATTTACTTAAGTTTAATGATATTGATATGATTAATGAATATTTATACATTGCTTATTATGTATTAAAAATTATAATATTTATAATTTAATCCTTAAGAATGTAATATTAACTAGTTGAAATTAAAATATTTAACCTATATCTGTAAGTATAGATCACTGAAATGTTTCATGTCACTCATGTTTCAACGGTTATTTTTATTTTATTTTATTTTCTAAAATATTTTAAGTTACCAACCTAATAATTTAGAAATGTGGCATATGACATCATAACTGTGTTCGGGATTCTGAGTTCTGTGTTGTTCAACAACAAAACATTTATCTATGATGATTAAAGCGGAGAACATCTAGTATTTGCCTATTTGTTTAGCACAATCATAAAAGACTAATGAGATACAAATTTGATTCATGTTATGAAAAATCCAAATCTATAATTGTATGTTGCATACTTTTGTTCATATATGGACTTATATTTGAGTTTTGAGGCATATTTCTTTATTTTTGGCTTTTTTTACAACTTTTCTTATAATAATATGTACAGTAGAGTCCAGCTAATCCGGATAATCTATATTTCGTTCTTTAGTACTCGTGTGCGATGGTTATATTCAGGAATACCCACAATTAAGATATTATCATTTCGATTACATATGTTTTGTGTTTGTATTATTTTTTCAAGTGAGTTCATTCTCATTTTCTTTAATTTTTCTTTAAATTTGTATTGATATATTATGTACATATGTAATACATATATCACAATAATAACAATAATGATGTGTAATGTATAATTGTAAATCAATAAATTTGGAATTTGTATAAATACATTAAATGTTTTTTTTGTTAATATTTATATGTAAGTTTAAAAAAAAATGTCATTCTGCTTAATCTGGTTAGAGTTCCGTTCCCATCTAGTCCGGATTAGCGAGACTACTGTATTATAAAAACGACATTTCTTTAAACATAATTTAAACATAGACACATGATGACTGGTAACCAGCACATGGATGAAAAAATTCCAAATTAGTTAACAATTCATGATGTTCATCAATCAACAACCAATGTAATTTACTATTTATCAATAAAAATAAAGATTAGTTAATTTCATTAAGATAAAACATTTTTTATTATTTATTTGTCAATAGTATGAAATGTATTTAAATTAGGTAATTGTATTTTCTTAATTTTTATTATTTAAACTTTTAAAAAAAGTAATTGCATATTTTAGGAGTTTCAAGTGTTTTTTTTAGGGCTACAAGTCCTCGTTCTTAGGCTGATGATCTATTGATTCTATAGGGTAAATAAATAAAACATATAAATATTTAATACGTTAATATTATACATTTACAATACATGAAGAAATAATAATTTTCAAATAATATATGTTTTGGGTTTTTTTGTTATTTTGGTTACTTTATTGTAGATCCTCAAAATATAAACACATCCATTATAATTGAATACTATGGGCTCTGATTTCGATAGGACAAAATTAAAATTGCATCGCAATATTATGTTAGATGTCGTTAAAGCAAAACATTTTAATATATCATCAGTGTCAGACGCAATTGATTTTTTAAAACAAGAAGTGTACTTACAAGATTTGGTACCAGAAATTGTAAAATTAATTAAAATTATGTTAACCGTACCAGTTTTGTCGTGTACTGCTGAGCGTTCTTTTTCTGCTCTTAGGCGTTTAAAAACATGTTTAAGGTCAACAATGACGCAAATACGGCTTAATGATGTTGCATTATTAAATGTACCTAAACAAGAAGAAATAAATATTGAAAATATTGCTAACAAATTTATAAAGACCACCAAAGTGAGACAAAATACCTTTGAAATTTGTAAAGCTATTTTAATTCATTATTAGAAACTTAGAAATTTTATAATACAATAAATTATAAATACATAAATTTCATTATACAATTATGTCATAATAATTCATTTTAATTCATTATTATATACCTATTACAAAAAGATTATTTTTGCTTATTTGTGTATAATTTGTTTATATTAGGTACATAGTAAAAATAAACAAAAAAAAGTCATTAAACGAGTTAACAAGTAATGCTTTGTTGAATTTTTTTGCATTTTTTGCTTATTACCTACTTCAATCACTTTAGGATTTTGGGCACCCCATGAAAATTGGAAAACCCGGCGCCCATGGGTACATCATAATTTTAGAGACCATTAGGTATCTATTAGATATCAATTGGATTAGCAAAAGCAGACATATATTATGTAGATCTATTTATGCTATTTTTGTTAAAATGTCTGATTCACAATAACCTTTATGATGTAGGTATCAATCAACACATAAATATATATTATATGCACCGGTAATTATTAAACAGTATTAAACTGTTTTTTCTATTTGAGTACTATTTTCGCAATGAAGTTTCATAAGTACTATTTTGATTTTAAAATAAAACTTCAAACAGCAATTGGATAAATATTTTAATACCTAAACCTAATTGGAATTTAAATATTTAAAATAAATAGTTGATACAGTATTGAATGTATTTATGAATTATTTTTTCATTATCATTGTAACCAAAATATTCCCCAATAATCTGTATATATAAAAATGGAACCAAAAATGTGTAACAATTCATCAATTGAAAACGGCTGGGTCGATTTTGCTCAAATTTTTTTTTAATTGTTCGTATTTATCCTTTTTTTAAACAATTTTTTGATGATTTATTTTTTGAGTCCTGGAATGTTTTTTCAAATTGAAAAAGCTACAGCAAGCTTTAGCTTATAAAATTGTCCATATGACATAATTAATTGTTAAAATATAGCCCCCGGCCAACACCAAAAAATTGATCAACATGAAGAAATATGTCATGAATTGAATATTAGGTATTAATATTATGTTTCACTTTCACTATGTAAAGTAAATTTTAAATTTTGTAAAGTGATAATTTCCGTATCGTTTTTATTCCATTCGATTTTATTTGTAGCCGTAAATACCCTCTCTTTATACAGAACGCAATAGTCGATAGTAGAGATAAAATTTGGGTTTTATCCATATGAAATGTGATTATTCGATTATTATTTTATAATTATTCATTTTCCATTTTCCGTTGTTGGCGTTACCAGAAAAACTACGTGTATACAATCTTATTTTATTTTACTAGAAATTACATGAATGTTTAATTAATCTAATCATTATTAGAAAAAGTAAATGCCAATATTGTTTAAATTGTTTGTTGTCATAGTAAAAAAACAAATTAAAAATTATCCATCAATGTATAATATTGCTGACATAAAACTTAAAAATTAAAAAATATTATTAATATAATTAAAATTTTAACATGGGTTTACTGCATGGGCATAACAATCTTATTACGCTCCCATAATTCCAACAGCAGTGGTGGAAGAATGGGTTAAGGTGTCACTTAAGAGGCATTTAAGCAAATTATCAACAATTTAATTCAACAGTCAAAATCAAAAGCCAAGTTTAACATAAAGTGGAATTGAGAGCAACCTAACCGATGCCAAACGAACAACATAAATTTTTACAAATTTACTTAATAGGCGGCGAGGACTAGGAAAAACATGAATATTTGGTTATTTTTTTATTTTTATAGGCCGTCATTATTCACAGTGCTCCATTTCTCTTTCAATCATATGCCAGTATACAACATCCCCACACACTCACAATAATTTTGGATTTTTAAGCTATTTTACAAAAATATTCTTTCAAAATAATTTATATGGCAAAACAACGTTTACCGCAATACATTTCAATAATTTATTAAGATTTTAAATGTAGAACATCATTGTGATTGTGATATTATACTTGTCTCAACAATTTGAGTAAATCTTCAAACTAATCCAAAAGATTTGTGTTAAAGAACAAAATTAGAAATATTTTTTAAATTCATTTTATTGTTATATTAAAAAATATACAATATTATACACACATAACAACGTACATCAAGCATAAAGTTGAACTAATTGTTCGCAAAATATTTTTTTCTCAAGTCAATTTAGCTTAAAATAGTTTTTTCTTAATGCTACTTACTGTAAAAAATTGAAACAATAATACCTTTTATTCAAAAAATATAATATATAATATGTATATGTTTAATATATACTATACTCTACCACAAATGAACAGTTTATATATTAGATGTAACAAAAATATTTACAATTTGTATCAGTTCATAATGATTATATACTTAAATATACAACTACTTAAGACTATTATTAGGATTAAATCTAATTTGTAAAATATAAAGAAGGATTTATCGGAAAAAAAGCTACAGCAAGTTCAATATTATTAATACCCTGACGAACAATTGCTTTAAGTTTATAAGATAAATTGATTATCTATTTGATAACAGTTCATATCAAATGTATTAATAGATGAAAATCTAAATTTAAGCTTAGCTATTTAACAATTATTATTTTATTAATGATAAAAATATACTACCACAAATAACAGTAATTAACTTAATAATTAGGACAATTTTTTGATTAAAAATCTACTTTGGTATAATCTGGTTGATTGTAAAGAACATATGACTATTCATAAATTAAGGCAAACAGTTTTTATAGTAAAAGATATTTATATACTGGTACTATAATTCATTCAAATGAGTTAAATTGTATAATTATGCTCGACAAATATGGTGATGAAAGTGCATGCAGTTTTTTCAGTGAGCGATTTTGTATTTTTTATATACAAAAAAAAATTCAAACATTTAAGAAAATGCTCAGTTGTTATTTGCTTCATCATTAAATAATTTTTTTTTTCAGGATAACAATTAAATTATAATAATTTAATTACATATATTTATAATTTTACATGGATAAATATTAAATATACAACACAAAACATTAAACTAAACTTAATTGTACGCGTGTCCAAATTGAATGTAAAAATATATAACTATCATCTCTAAGAAAAAAATATAATAAACATATAGTTATCTTTATATAATATTAAGTAATAACGAAGTAAAAAATGATTAAACATATTATAAATCTAAAATATACATACACATATATTATTTATTATATATCAATTTATATATATATATAAATATAGATGTATGTACGGTAGACCAGTTTTTTTCCCCCATAATACTAATACAGGAAAATGGGAAAATACCCTACATATATGTATACATAAATATATATAATGATGATAGTAATAATAATAATTAAAACCATTATGAGTGTAGAAATTAATAGAATTTAAAAAAAAATTACTAGACTTAAAATCGACCAGTTTTTGGAAGGAAAGTGTTTAAGCATGGATTAAAATTGTTGATAGGTGGAGTCAGATTTAAATCATCAATTACATCAACAGTTGTACTTGATACCTATAACATAAAAACAATAAATTATAAAATGTGTACTTACACTAAATTAATTAATTTAAAAGAACATGCTATGTAGTATGTTTGTTATGACAAATTCATACTTAAACAAAGAAATAAAAAACAATAAAATTTTAAAAAAAGAACAAATTAACAAAAATAATAGTTTATAGCTGTATGACACATTTCATTCACACTGTACATTTTATTGTTGTATAATTAATAGTCAGAGAAAACATTTTCATGTTGAGAGCATTGCTTCCATTATTAAAAGATCAATAACGGATATTAGTACTTGCGTTTTAAGATAAAACAATAAAGTATTTTAATATAATTTTCAGCTGTGTGACACACAAGTAATTTAAAATATACTATTTTATTTCAGTATAATTCATGAGTTGTTGGTCAAAAACATTTTCATGTGGCAAGATTTGCTTCCATTATTAAAAGATTAATATCAGATATTAGTACTTGCGCTTTAAGATAATTCAATTTGGTATTTAAATATAATTTTCAGCTGTGTGACACACAAGTAATTTAAAATATACTATTTTATTTCAGTATAATTCATGAGTTGTTGGTCAAAAACATTTTCATGTGGCAAGATTTGCTTCCATTATTAAAAGATTAATATCAGATATTAGTACTTGCGCTTTAAGATAATTCAATTTGGTATTTAAATATAATTTTCAGCTGTGTGACACACAAGTAATTTAAAATATACTATTTTATTTCAGTATAATTCATGAGTTGTTGGTCAAAAACATTTTCATGTGGCAAGATTTGCTTCCATTATTAAAAGATTAATATCAGATATTAGTACTTGCGCTTTAAGATAATTCAATTTGGTATTTAAATATAATTTTCAGCTGTGTGACACACAAGTAATTTAAAATATACTATTTTATTTCAGTATAATTCATGAGTTGTTGGTCAAAAACATTTTCATGTGGCAAGATTTGCTTCCATTATTAAAAGATTAATATCAGATATTAGAACTTGCGCTTTAAGATAATTCAATTTGGTATTTAAATATAATTTTCAACTGTGTGACACACAAGTAATTTAAAATATACTATTTTATTTCAGTGTAAGTTATGTATAAAAAGAAAAGTACATTTCCCTACAGCAAGAATTACTTTAGTTTCTAAAAGTTAAAAATCAGATGTACTAAAAGTCAATTATAACAGACAAAAATCTCCTTACAACAAAAAATAACAGTTATGTGTACCCTATATTCCCTATAAAAGTCTCTCTATAAAGAACTTTTTTATTACAGAAAAAAGTTTGTTTGAAGCAACATTCCATTATAAGGTAAATTTATCTTATTTACATTTAAACACATTTCAATAATTTATGTAAAATGTTCATATCAGCTAATATGATTTTCAAAAATATAATGATTTCATCATAAATTAAACATACTACTTTAAACACTTTTAAATATTTTGTAAATCTCGTCAAATGAGATGTGATTAATAGAGAATAATAATAAAATACATCACGTTACTATATTTACCAATTTCTATAGATAACATTAAGCTAATTATTTTATCTAATCAACAACAATATATTATCTGAATACTGTATCAATGTGTATGTACCTCATCTGTTTCCACATTGTTATTAGGTTTTTCAGATTCAATATCAGATTTTGTTGAACTATTATTGGCAAGTTTTGATGCTAAAATATCACTTTCTGCTTCATTGGTATTATTTTCAATGGTTGATTTTAAACCATCAGCTACATTATTTTCATTATTTTGTACATCAGCGGGGATTCTAAAGCAAAAAAACAATAAATAATTAACTTAAAATGAATATTTTACAATAACATGTACAGATAAAAGAAAATATGAAACTAACCCTCCAGCCGGTATTGGTTCACCAGATTCGTTAGTCCTAGGCTGGTTTTCTCGTACTCTTTGATCTCTTTTTCTTTTTTTGCTCCAAAGCTCATGACAATCTTGCCATGTTGGTAATGCTGTCACATCCATTCTATACAATTCATAAATAAATATTTTATAATAAAATATTTAAACTAATTTCCAATTTATTTTTAATGAAAATATAATTAGTGTTCAATACTAACTTATCGGGTTGAACATTTTTTAACCAATTGCATTTTAGAGCTTTATCAGCAGTAATTCGTTTGCTAGGGTCTAATTCTAACATGTGATCTAAAAGATCTAAGGCACTATCATTCATAAATGTAAATTCTTCACGCAACCGACGTCTATGTACTTTCTTAGCTTTTAAGGAGTGCCAGAAAGGCAAGTTTATCACAGTAGGCCATACAGCAGGTGTTGGACTACCGCATAAACGAGATATTGTTTCTAATTGCATCATTTCTTCATTGGCCTGTAAACATATTATACACATTAACATATCAAAAACCACTGTTATAAGAAAACCTATTTATGATTTATTAAATTTGTTACATTGCTAAATTTAATAGAAGATTTCATAATAGTATGAGGGGATTCTGTATATTAAAAATTTACAGTGCTAAATTCACACTAAATTAAAACCTGTAATATACAATGTAATTGCATGTAAATTTCACATAAAATATTACCTGAAATAAAGGCTTTTTCAAGAACAGTTCTCCCAAAATACATCCACAAGACCAAACATCTATTGAAGTTCCATACCTCTCTTCACCAAGTAATAATTCAGGTGGCCTATACCAAAGTGTTATTACTTTATTAGTATATGGCCTTTGTCTATCTTGAGCGTTATATAACCTAGCTAGGCCAAAATCAGCCAACTTCACTTCACCTCTAAAGTTAGAAAAAAATCAATAAATTAGTAACAAACATAAATAATAAACAATTTGAAAATGTTAAAATCAATCGCAAGCTGTTAATTGAATAATGAATAGTCATTATTAAATACAATAATTGTGCAATTAACAAATATTATATTACTGTCAATGCATAAATTTATTATAAAACATAGTTAGCCAGAATATTCAATATGGAACTGTAGTAAACTCTGGATTACCCATGGCCTTTGGCAACATTTTGAGGAATTAAGTTTATGTAAAAAAGTCATTATGATTCCATGAATCAGTTTTTGGCGAGTTAGAGAACATCTCAAGTCTCAAAACTTACACAGAAGTTGTATTGCTGATTGATAATGCACCGTCCTACTCTAAGGTTTGAAATTGAAAAATGGAAATTTGTTGTCAAATTATTGCCTCCTTACGTGGCAATTTGATTTCTAATGGGGTTCTATGTGGTTTCTGTGTCACCCTATTCCTCAAATAATCAAAGTTTACTGTACAGTTAAGTTTTTTTAATGAAACGATCTTAACCATTGTGCCATTTATTTTTTAATATTTTAAGTTTTAACTTTACTTGTTATTCATTAAGATATTGCTGCATTTGATATCTCTATGAAGAAAATTTCGACGATGACAATAATTTAAACCTTCCAATAGTTGCCGCATAATACTTGCATTATGTGTCTCATTAAAGTCAACCATTCCAGATTCTAATAATCCCATAAGATCATGATCCATATATTCAAATACTAAATAGAATGATCCTCTATCCTAGATAATAAAAACAAAATTAATAATATTTATTTTTCTGATATTGTATAGAGTTCAAATGGATTTCTATAAAATATATAATCTATGGTTTACTTTTTTAAAATCAAGGGCATCTTGTTTATCAGTTACAATTTCTCTGAGGTTAACAATATTTTTATGGTTTAATTGCCGTAAAATTTTTATTTCCCGAACCGCGGTTATGGGGAACCCTTCTTTTTCATTTTCAAGACGAACTTTTTTCAATGCTACAAATGTACCTGAAAGTAAAACAATATTTAAAAGTGATTAAACATATTGCATAAATTTAATATATTGGTTATGTACACTGTATTGTATTATGAATACATTTGGTGGTGCTTAAAATTAAATCTAAACAAATTGTATAATACCTGAAGTTTTATCTTTTGCTTTGTAAACTTGACCATAGGTTCCTTCGCCTATTTGATTTATTACTTCAAACATATCAACACACTGCTCTCCCCAATCAATAGGGTTATTGGTTGCAGTAGATTTTGTACTCCGCCTTCGATAAAGTACTTTAGGTCGTTTAATCTTAACATTTGGGTCTAATGGACGAGAGGGCCGATCCACATTTGAAGTGAATGAAAAACTTTGTGGAAACCCTGATCCTAAGCCCAACATAATTGATCTTTTAATTGCACTTTGTTGATGATCAGGTAAAGGATTCGATACAATTTCTGACAAGGAAAGATTTTTATCATCATCAATCTTATCCGCATTTTGAATGAGTCCTGAAAACAATCAATTAAAGATTATACGCATTCAAATTAAAAATATTAGATAATAACCAAAATAAGGGAAAATTTATATTTTATTATTGAGTCATAATATTTAATTTAAGCTTAAATCAGTATTAAAAAAATCTTCAAATATGTGATAAAAATAATATAGTATAACCATTTGTTCATTGAAACTTGCATATTAATATGCAAAGCGTAACAATTGTTTTTATGCATTTGTTTCAAAAATTAAAACTTTTAATTAATTAACGTATAAACCCAATTTATGGTTATTCAGATCTTAAAATGGTAACATTTAAATGTAACAATAAATTACTTAGATGTTTTTATAAGAATAAATTATATTAAAATAATTAACCTTAATAATGGATTTAATGGGGATTGAATAAAAATATTTTTTAACTTTTCTACAATGTATTATTGAATAAACCACAATATCAATTAATTTTAATATTCCAAAAGAAAACTTTTTACCTGGTGGTAGAGGCAAATCTTTAATGCTTTTTTTTGAACTCTTAAGTTCTGAATCTGGTGATGTTTCATCAAGTACTGAAAAAACAGGTGGCAATGGCATTTTTGACATATCTTTATTTTCTACAACTTCTGCTTTTTTCTCTGGTGGGGTTATTTTGGGTGTCGATGATATCTTATGCTCTTTAAGTTCTACAGAATGTTCAATTCCATTTTCTATGATCTCTACATTCATATTAGATGGACTTTGACTTTTTAGAGGAATCACTGGAATTTTTGGAGCTATTTCTGTAATTGGTGAAGTAACTGATTTTACATTAGATGTTTCATCATCAAGTTTAGAAGTTTGACTCATATTTTCTGACGTCTCTACTATTAGACAAGAATCAACATCATCGCCCACATTCAATGTGTGTAGTTTTGTATTTAAATCATTTGATTTAGAACTATTTTGTTCATTATCTGAATCATCATGAATTTCAACTACTTCATTTTCATCAATAGTCTTTGAACTTATTTGTGTTAAACACTTCATGGCTAATTCCCGCATCTGCCGATCTTTTACCAACTCAGCAAACAGACTTGTTTCACTAAGTTTTACTTTGGAATTATATTGTTTTGCTGGACTCTTAGTAGATTTTTTTTTCTTAGAAACTGAAGAATAGCATCCAGGTGAATCACTATCAGAATGTTTTTTAGAATTTTTTGAATCCTTTACCGGAGAAGATGATTTACTTTGAGTACGAATGTTTTTAGATGGAGAACGTGAATATTTTGGTCGAATATGACTTGATTTTTTCAAAGAACGAGAATTGTGAGGTGAAACAGCTCGTGGTACATGGGAAGTATGCTTTGATGATTTGGAAGCAGTAGTACGTGGAGGAGATTTCTGACTACGTTTCGGTGAGTGGTGTGCATGATGATGATCATGCCTTGTTTGATGAGAGGAATGTGAACGAGAACGAGAATGGGAACGGGAACGAGAATGGGATTGTGAATATCCCGCTTTAGAACTTTTCAAGTGTTCATGGTGTCGACGATCTCGAATTGGACTTCGTGATAATCTAAAATCACAGTTAACAAATGTATAATATGAATTCATTAAATTTGCTTTAATATTGTTAAAGATAATTAAAGCCACACAAAATAAACCAAACTTTTTTTTTACAACTATTTATCTTCAATATTATTTTAAAACTATTGGAAAGTATTGAATAACTCCCAAATAAACACATAAAGGAGTGTTTTGAAAATATAATCATCTGGTAAATTAATAGAATTATAATGTATAAAGTATCACAAATCGTATGAAATCAATTAATATCTATAAAATTCAAATTCTAAAAAAAAGAAATAAACAATTGGGTAAAACAATGTTTTAATTGCTCAAATTAGGTAAAAATGTGAAACAATATAATATACTATCTTAGATTTAGGTATGTGATCTAAGATTATAAAGAATTGGTATCCATAGCAACAATTTGTTAATAACTAAATTTGTCATCTTAAAAATAATATAAATAGCCGTATTAACATAACCACAAAAAAAAACTAACACTATCAATATTGGTATGCTAAAACAATACCAATACCAATAATGTAATAGAACATAAATGATTGTTGCACTACAGAAAGTATTTATTGCTAGCATATTATCAAATGTCTAAACCTGACGTTATGCGATATTTTATTAAAATTATTTTGTGTAATTTTCACAAAAATGTAGAGAATTATGCCTTCATTGCTCCATCAAAACTAAATTATTAGGTACATTCTTTAAGCAACCAACATTTATCAATACTAAGTAAGACTTAACAACTAACCTAGAATAAAAATAACGTACCTGTGACTATGTACTGGTGATCTATCTTTATCAGATTTAGTTTTTCGTACTCTACTCCTTTCATATTTGCTATCATATTTGCTATCGTGTTTGCTCTCATGTTTACTCTCATATTTGCTCTCGTGTTTGCTTTCATGTTTGCTTTCGTGCTTACTTTCGTATTTGCTCTCGTGTTTATCACGAGTCCTACTAGACTTGAGTTCGTCAGTGTCGTATCTTTCAAACTCATCCATACGTCTTTTGTGATCCCTAAATTTGTATTGTATTAAAATAGGTTGATTAGTAATAACTATTTATAGTTAATTATAACACAAACCGATTATTTTGTTTTGAAACACTTCGTGATCGATAATTATATTTACCATCTACAGGTTCAGGAGTACGGCTATATTCTTTCCTTATTGCTATATTTAATAATGGCGGGCTCTTCATCCAACTTAAAAATATATTTATAAAATTAGACATTTTAATTATTTTCTACCAAAATATTAAAAAATACTTCTGTGAACCCTACAATAACCCACTCGCCTAAGAAAATATTAAACAAAACCAATGTTATTTTGTTAACAAGAGCCTGTCAGATAATTTATTACCTTTTATTTTCTTTTCTATGATGTTTGGTGTGTTTTTCTTCTTCCTTATGTGTTACCTCAACTTTAGAAACTTTGATATGAGTTGATTTTGTTAATGGTGGAGTATGTGACACCTCAATAGGTTTATGCTTTTTAACAGGTTCAATAAAATCACCATTTCGTTTGGAAGGTTCCGAATTAGAACATTTGGAAAACTTCACAAAACTATTATCACAGGCTGGTAATACATCAGATGTATGTTTCAACTCCTTCTTCTTTTTTTTCTTTTTTGTGCTAGGGCTTTTAGGTTTTTTATTAGATTTTTTAACTTTTTTTAATTTTAAACGTGATATTTCTGATGTCATGTCCACGCAATTATTTATATTGATAGTGGTAGACATTGAAGATTTCTCTAGTACTGGATCTAGTTCCCAATGATTACTTATAGGAGAACAGGCTGCTACTAGATTTCTAGGTGAAGTGACTGTAGTAATTCGAAAATTATTAGTTATTATTCTGGTAGGAGGTTTTAAACGTATGGCCCCATGCTTTTCATCAAAATCACTATGTATTTCACCTGCCTCTGGACTACTAAGTTCTTCAGAACTAACATCTGAATATTGAACTAAATGTTTATTTGAAGTAATTAGAGCAGGTTTTTTGTGCGACTTTGATTTTAATTTGTGCTTGTTCTTTTTTTCTTTTGTCCTTCGGTAAGATTTTTCTCTGCTTGCTGTGCTGCATTTTCTAACCAGTGCTGGGAGCATATCTATTATTCATTCCCATTCATAAATGTCAATTTTAGTAACAGTTACGTTATAAGATATTAGGTACTTCAATTTTTTTTTTTTAAATAAACAATAATTTTAAGCCATATATTTTACTTGAAAGTTATTATATAAATGGTCTATAAAGATGTCTTTTGTAATTACTTACAACTACTGTATACCATTTCTTGTTTTAAATTGTTACATTAAGACTGTTGGGATCTGAAAAAAAAAACATATTTATTTTGATAACAAGATTAAATAACATAATAATAACAATTAAAAAACATTTCTATAGATATTATTTAAAACAATATAATAGGTCTTACATCAATAGCTATGTTTAAAGCAACACAATTAGCGTGTATTTTAATCATATAAGTCGGTCATACATTTTATGTGTAACCAATGTATTCTTATATACTTGTACATAAAAGTGATTAAGTAAATCAATTCTAATTATTATGAGTTAATCACAGAAGTAATCTATGGATAAGTAGTTCAAACAAATGTATTAAAAATATTAAAATTACCTAATCTAAAAATAAAATGTATGGTTATAACTAATATTTTATTTATTATTTTATTACATAAAAATAAAACATGAATAGAACAAAATAGACATTTGTGTTAAATTGTATAATTTAAATTAGTTTACAAGTTTTACAGTTTGTAATATTTAAATGTAAATGTTAACAAATTATAAAATGATAGTTTAAAAAACATTTTTTAATCTCAATAAATTTCAATTCAACGATAAGTACCTATGTAAAAAAACTTAAATAAGTACATATTTCAATATTAATATTCATCTTTTTGAGATAGGGATAATATAATATTACAAATGTATTATTATTGATAACTAATCACTATGATGTACAACAATCTACAAAAGACAACAGTAAACCTAGAGCAGCAGTCATAGACTACAAATAGGAAGGTATAATACATAATATTACAATAATCTCATTGATTTATAGAAAAAATACACTAACATCCAAAAATAAAATATAGGAGAATAAATGTTTCATTTAATAAGACTGAAATAAAATACAGATATTGAAGTACAATTTTGCATTTCAAATAATAATTTATTCAAGTTAAAGGTTCTTCTAAATAGTAACTAGACGATGAAATTAAAATCAGACAAAGAAAATAAATGGACAAAATGGGTTCTAGGTAAGTTAAGCTAGGTTAGGTATAACACTCATTTTTAAATTAAAATATATATAACTACATATAAATTGAATAATTGCCAGGCCTAATTTAATTTTGTGTACCTATAAGTAGGTACTTCAACAATTTCAAGTTAATAGTTTTTATTACATTTTTAGTCTTCCATTGTATTTATCAGGCAATAAAGCATACATATACAAAGAAATGCTTTCTTAAATATTTTAAAATTTAGATAGATTGTTTTCATACAAAAGTTAAACATAAAAAACTTACGTAAATAGTCAAAATTTGCTTTATGATTAAAAAATATGTTTTTAAAAACTTTTAAAACGACCATAGTTTTGAGTTTACCTAAATTATATTTATAAAATGTAAATTATTTTTAGAAATAATTGATTTATATTGACCTATTTTTACTCTCCATACAGTATAGAAAAATACACTAATTGTTTAGTAGCTTTAAGTGCTGTGAACAGGGGCAGTCCACTAGGGTAGTGGGTGGGAGGCTGCTTGAATAAATTTGAGCCAAAAATATAATGGAATTGGCCAGAATATTTTGTTTCCCAAGTACCGATTTTAATTCCCAGTCCGTCCTTGGCTGAGAAAAGTGTATTTTGTCTTTAACTTACCAAGTTTAAAAGCAAAAACCTTGTATTCTCTTATTGCCTTTTTCTGAGAAATAACCAACAAGAGAACACAGATAATTTGAGGGATAATACTCTCACTATAAAATTTGATATAAGTCAATTTACTTACAACTAAATAGTTAATAAGTGTAAGCAAGTTATGCTACGCATTAGTAAAATAGAACAAATGTGGGTGCAAGTCTAATAATTTTAAGTGCCAACAAATTATAAATTTACAATGTTAATCTAGTAGAACTAAACTAATATAAGAAAATTTGATTATCTTCAAACATATTAAACCTAGTACCTACAAATTAAAATTGTTACAAACAATTATAAAACAAAAACATAATAATATGTAGTATGCACCTACCTACTTTACATAATACAAATATTCTTAGGCAGGTACTTTATTAATTTCAACTAGTATAAGTATTAAAGATTAAAATAATTTCATGCATTTATTTCAATGTTCACTAAACCTATTACCTAGTAACATTTTGCAAGATTAATGTTTGTTAAAATAGTACCAATGTCATATCCAGTCAGTAATTCCATAAAATGCATACTATCTATACTGATCTAGACTATACTAAAACATCGGCAAACGTCTTATACAGATCGAGCACAATTATCCATGACGGAGAATGCCAGTCTATTAAATCGGTGCAAAAACGTATAAGATATGATTCATTTAAAATTGTCTTACCTCGGTATTCCAGTAGGCATTGTCTTGCAGTTTGAAAAATCCGGTTTGTTGACTGCATGAAGTATGATTCAACGAATGAAATAAAAAATAAAATAATAGATAGTTAGGCAGGTGATTGCAATCGAGAATCGACAAATCCGCGGTTTACAGTGAAAGATAAAAAAAAAATCCAAATACGTGTGAATCACAGCATTCGGTATTATATTATACGTCTCGTAAATTAATGTAGCGTATAATATTATGTGCCTCTATATTAGCACATGACTGACGTCCAAAAAAAAATGTAATGTAAAACGTTATGATCGCGATTCGCGCGTGTCAACATTGTAATAATGCGATCTCGCCTTCGGATGCGTTAGGCGCCGCGACTCCGGTCTTACGAGAATAACAATAATTCCGGATGATAACCACCACCATTTGGTTTTCGGTTACGGGCGTCCAGTCGTATTTTCACGATTTTAATATGACGAGCGTATTCGCATAATCGTGCGTTTCGTGTATCAATGGTGTTCCCTATTGAGGCAATGAGGCGACGTACACGACGGACGGAAAATCGGTTATCAGTGATGACCGCTCGTCGACGAATGGAAAAAAAGAATCGCCGAGGCCATTTTCAGCAGTTTTGTTTTTTTTTGTTTTTTTTTTTTTTGTCCCCGGTTCCGTTTTATTTACCGAGTCTTTGGCGGTCTGGCGGTTCACTTGAGACCGTTCTACCGACGTGCGCGCGACAAACGTTCACCGTCACCGGTCGTCGAAATATTTCTGCGTGGAGGTAGTTACTACTAATGACTATTATACTACGACAGTAATAGTCGTGGGATTGTCGCAGTGAAATTGATCGCCGAACAAATATAAAAAAAAAAATAGTTATTTTATCACACTACGTATTATGTCGTATAATATTATACATCAAATAGGTACCAACTCTCATTTATTTTTTTTTAATAACTCTCTTGTTATTATATTAAAAACAATTAATACGAAATGAAAATTAATTAAATTATAAAAAAATTAAATCAAACATAAATTAAACATTACATCGTCAATTGTTAAAAATTCTTAAGTTTAGAACTGAAGTTGAAAATTATGCGCTATTGATTTTAAAAAGTCTATTTCATAAACGAAAATACAACGACTATCATACAAAATAAACTTTTTAATATTAATCAACCATCATGTTCAACTTTAACTTTAAGTTCAATTTATATTTTAAACATTTAATTAATTATCATCTCATATTAAATAACACTAATGCGTTATTTAAAAAGAAATAAGTAAGAGTTGGTACCTATTTGAATAGTCTAAGTTAATAAACATAAAACTCGGAAGTATAGTATGTAGTAAAATTATAAACGTTGTAAAAAAATAGCTATAAAACTAAAATTCTTTGTTCGGCGATCAATTGTATTCGCGATAGATTCACCGGTTACCAATAGTCGTACCACCTGCGGGCCGCGGACGACGGGACTGAATAGTAACGGTATATAATATTTATTAATGTGTTTTTCCGCGGAACGTTCGAGAATCGATCTTTCGGCCGCTTTGTGGATATACCTACTACCGATCGAAGATTCAAAGGTTAAATATTTTGAAGGTGCTCGTAAACGTAGCCCGGTCCGGATTTAAAGTCGGAATTTCGACAAAATTCGTCAAAATCGCGAGAATTCGCCAAAAATTATTTTGAATAAAAAATACATAAACAATTTCTTTCTATATCCAAAATGTGTGCATAAATGCAGTTTAGCTACAAGCGATTTTTTGGAATTTTTTTTTCAAAATGTTTGTTTTTGTATGCTTAAACTGATGACACTTTCAAAAAAAGTCGCTAAAACTCAATTTACAAGTTATGGTCCAAAAATCGTGTTTTTAGTTTAAAATACCAACATGTTAAATTTTTAAAAATTTTGAATGTGAGTATTTATGTTAATAAACCATGTAAAACTGAATTATGGAGTCATTTACGTATTTATTTCAAACATTTGCATATCAATGTATAACTCAAAGTTCATGTTTTGGACTTTTTTTCATTCGGTTTGTTATAACATAAATAATTTTTTGGGGAAATCAGAATTAACTTATATTTTTTTGGTTGGACGAAATAGGTTAAAATAATAAGCAATAAAAAACTAAAATATATACAGCGGAAGTAATGTATTTTATTGATAAATATGTATATTTATAGTAATGTTATAATATTGATACATGATTATTAAATTAAAATGTTTAATAATTATCTAATATTCTAAGATAAATCATTCAATGAACTTTAAAGATTCAATTACAGGCGCTCACGCTAATGCCGTAGAGGAAATGTGACAGCTTCGCTTGCTAAACTGCATCCGTTCCAAAATTTGTAAATGTATTGCAACTTTTTTTACCTTTAAAAATTTGAACCTCAAACGCTCCTAAAAATGAATGAGTCTTTTTATTAATTTGTTTACATTCTTATACGTTCTTTTGTTTAACGGGATTGCAAACGTACAATTTTT